TCATTTAAACAATGTCAAGCCGAAGATAACATTCTGTATAAGTTTGTATTAATTGAATTTGATGTGACATCTTTATACTTTTTCATATGACTCAAATATCTAGCAATGTCAAATATAGTAACTCAATTCAATTCTCTTACTCTCTGCAAAAAAATCAATTAAGTCAATTAGATTGGAATTGGGGGATATTCCTTTGTATGGTTAAAATTAAGTTTCATATGCCTTCTATTTTTTTGTTTTGCATGATGAAACAGAACGATAGAAGTCGGAGCGGATAGATTCAAGATTCCTGATATTATTTTCAATCCATCATTAGTTCAGGTTGGTATTTCTTAGCGTCCTAATTTTCGGGTTTCTTGTTCTGTTCTCTTATCTAGTGGGAGTCATGGTCTCATGGATGTATGTGAGCAGTTGTTTTGTGCGCGACTTTCATCTTCTTCTGTGCATGATTCTGTATTTTTAATTATCTTAAGATGTTGAATCTGTAATGCTTCTTGCCCTGCCTCCCCGCTGTCGTATTTTTCACTTTTTATGTATTGATCCTTCAGAAGTTGGGTATACTTATAGCTGAAGCAGTCCTTGGTATGATCTGCAAGGTCCTATCTTTGCATTGCAATGGTTAGAACTATATTTCAAGAATTATATTGATGGTAAATGAGGATAATGGACCTGGCTGTGCTAATTTACACACCTCCAGTACTGCTCACACAATTTGGTTCGATATTACCTTTTTAACTTTGCATCTCATTTCCTTGCATTTCAAGGTTCAACAAAGTTTATAGAATTTCAGGTCATAAATTAGTGGGATGTTTCTGGGGTGACAGTTTATTATGCCATGATCTCTACCTTTGAGATTCAGATTTAGTTGTTGAATTGTCAAAGATATGTATTATTTGAGATATCAGTCTCTAATGATTTTTAATAAAGTATTTTTTTTGTGTTCTTTTCTGTATACTATCATAAGTTGTCAGATGTAAGACAGAACATTCTGTCTGCTTAAGCATACCTATTATCTGGAGAATCTGTCATCTTGCCTTCTCAGGCTAGCCGCTTCAGATTTTCTGGTTTATCTAGTATTTTACTTTGGTGTTTTTCTTTCTGGCGTGTCACAGACTATCCCCGGTATGGAAAGTTTTGCTGAGACTGCTGCTTCTCTTCGTGGTCTACCACAAATGGTTGGTCCTTTCTCCCTTTACTTTGCTCAAATAGATAATATCAGTTGACATTCGTCCTTCAAATTTTGTTCCTCTTTCACATTTCCTTTGTCGTTTGGTGTAGTAATTTACTCACAATTTTCAGGTTATCGAGAGCATTAACAAGTGCGATGTGGATATCCGAAGAGAACTTTTTAGTAGTATATTGGTAAAGCCATCAATGCTTCTTGTAATCTCTTTAAATATGAGGCTGAAGTTTCCTTTTTGCGCACTTCCTTGTAGTTGCTTTTAACATTTAAATACTTGTGAAGATCATTTTATAAAAGTCAATTCTTTTAAATTCCCATTTTCACATTGTAAGCACTGAAACTGAGAGGACGCTTTCCTTCAGGAGAAAAAAAATGGAAATTGCATGACAAAGTGATTTTAATTTTTCTAACCGGATGATGCTCCTTATGACTTTGTAGATAAAAATTATATAAAGAACAATATGAAAATTCAATGGCAGATTAGAGCCAGTGCTTTTCAAATTTATCATTGGATTAAGTCCCACATCTACCTACCACGAGCATATGGATTTCCGAAGACTACTTATATTTTGCCTGTTTGAATATGAAACTTTGGATGAGATTTTAGTTTGATTCACTGCTTAATACAGCTTGCTGGGGGAACAGCATCGATGCAGCAACTCAAAGAACGGCTGGAAAAGGACTTGCTAGAGGTGCCGTTTCCCATTTGACTCTAACTATGCCCGTCTCCCCTTTCATGCACTTGTTCGAATTCAAGGACAGCAGTCTTATCTTTTCTCCTTAGCTTGAATACCTAATTCCATATCTCGTTTGCGCTTTTTTCCAGGAGTCTCCCCAAGCAGCGAGAGTCAAAGTGCTGGCTAGTGGAAATGCTACAGAAAGGAGATTCAGGTTAAACTATTACTCTGTAGTTCTCATTTCATCTTTCTCAGCCTCTCTTCACGGTGATAGTTCCTTTAGATGTTGAGTGTTTAAAGTAAAGTTAGAAGCTTTCAACTGTCTACGGTGTGTACTGAACTTACTTTTCTCATCTACATGCAGCATTTCGATTTGGGTTTCCTCTGATATTTGCTACTTCTAAGTTTAAAGCTGACAGCATATAACTGAAGCATTTTGCTCAGTAAAATTTCAAGTACTATTGGCATATCCTTTTTTCTCCTTTTCAACAACAAAAAATCCAGTGTAATCCCACAAGTGGGGTATGGGGAGGGTAAACATATAAATGCAGATTTCCCCTTTCCCTATATAAATGCAGATTTGAGAAAACAGTAAACATACTTTTTTTGTTGACTGCTTTTAATAAAATCTTGAAATGCTAGTTTGAAGAAGATATATCTGTTCATCCATAAATAATGGTTTGCATTTAGCAATTAGGAGAGGGTTTCTTTACACAATTCTGATCTAACAAAGGCGTTGTGCAGTGTTTGGATAGGGGGCAGCATATTGGCATCTCTTGGTTCCTTTCAACAAATGTGGTTTTCGAAGTCTGAGTAAGTTCTGCATGTTTCTTTGAAACCAATGCTACTTTTGACAAGCAAGAGCACTCCTTGTTTCTGTTTCCTTTAAAACAGCTCTTCCTACGCCACATAACTACAGTGGTTTTTAATGAGCACACCTCTTCATTATGCTAATGACAGGTACGAAGAGCACGGGGCATCTTACGTTCAAAGAAAATGTCCTTAAGATGATTTCTTACCGTTCTGTTATATTTTGCGGAAAGCACTGTATTTATTTGATTAGCATCAAGCAAAGATGTTTTTCCAAGTGGACTTGCTCTGCTCAAGTCTTGTACCAATGTACATCCATATCGGACTTGCACCGTTGACTAACGTTGTAGGAATCAGAGTGACTTTCTATTTGTATTAGGCTGTTAGCTGTACCACTACTGAAGCTGTTCAATGAAAATGCTAGATTAAACACCTTGTGCTAATTGCTAAGACCTTGTTTGACAACTAAGTGGGTAAAGAGTAAAGACCCCTTTGTAACACTTGGAAGTTCACCGAGTGAACACGGACGATGGGTCAATCATGCTGATTCTTATGTCTATAGGTTGAAAACTGGCTACTTCAAGTGATGAAGCAAGAAGTTCTAGCAAGTCCAATCAAAAGGTAAAATGATTATATGATATCTCAGACAAAAGTTAAAGCCTGTTTGGCTAAACTTTTAAAATCAGCTTATTTCGAAAAGTGATTTTTTCGATATTGTTTTTCAAAAAAGTACTTTTTGTGAGTGTGTTTGGCCAAACTTTTAAAAAGTGCTTTTAAATATATTTTTCAAAGAAGTAACTTTTGTAGAGAAGTTATTTTTTGTGCTTCTCAAAATTGCTTCTACTCAAAAACGCTTTTTTCTTTTTAAAAGTTTGTCCAAACATTTAACTTTTAGAAAAAAGTGCTTGACAAAAAATAAAAAAAAGGAGCTCGGCCAAATAGGCTATTAGTCTCGTTCACTTTTTTTAGGATGCAATGTGTATTGTGATCACTTGTTGGGTCGAACTTTCTCTAGAGGAAGAAACAGAAAACGTTAGGTGGTTTCGGCATGAGAGATCCACAGCCAATATGATCAAGATCTTGCTTACAGACAATAAAAAAAAATTGGTTAAAAAGAATTTCGTAAATTCTCATTTTACTGTGTTGGGTTGGTCACAATCCAATTGACGCTTACAGCATCTCCATTGATATGAAAATGTTTAGCTAATATTCAACAAATTAGAAAAAGGATAACTTTCTTATATTTCCAACCTTTATCGTCGTTTGTGGTCATTCGTCATTACTTGGGGAAAATTACAAACAAGAATCTCATATATTAAACATATTCGTCATTTGTAGCCTTTCTCATGCTCATGTACTTCCTATCAATTTCAACATATTCTCATCTTCTCGACATATAATTCTTTTTCCATGCAATTAAGCTATAGCTAGAAAAAGTTATATGCCTAATGGTCTCAAAGATTGTAGGGCAACAATTACTTTTAGCCCAGCCAAAATTATTTACATTTAGTAGCCGTAAAAGTGTATAGAATTTATTTTTTATTAATAATATACAGAAGAGAGAGAGCGTATGTATAATGTATATTTTTTCGGCTATTATCTTGAGAGTGATTATATAGTGTCATATTTTTTCAAAATTATACACTATGATTCGACTTATAATCTAGAGGAGCTTAGATGCTCAAATGAGCCGATTATTTTCCGGATCGTGATAGCGTAATTTAGGAGAAATAACACCATGTAGTTGTTTTGAACACCTCTATTTAGAACATATTTAGTAAAATTAACCCAATTTTGACAAAGAGGTTTGAAGTTTGTCAAACGTTAGATCACTACACTTTTTTGGCAATATGAAGTTACACTATTAAGGTTTATCCAATTTTGGCAAACGTTAGATCACTACACTTTTTTTTCTCCTTAAAACCTTTATATCAACTTAAGTTATCGGGTTTAAAGTTTAGAACTTATTGATAGTTTACAATTGATTTTGAGGCGGTTAAACTTTAATTTTTTCGTAAATATTGACTATTCTTTAAATAGGGGCCTAAAACGGATTATTTGTGCACTTCCCCTCTGTAATTAAAGGAAAGGAGGTGACCTTTTGGTCATTCCAGGTTAATCTAGGGAGTGCTTTCGCAATTTAAAACATATTTACACACATTTGCGTATCTTTTTTTAGGAATAAATAAATAAAAAGGTACACGCGTAGTCAGTAGGCATAGGACTTTGAAAGCGATAGTCATTTACTGTATCCGACAAGGAACTGCCACGTTGCATTTAAGAGAAAATAAACGGACTTCATCTGACTCCGACCCTTTTCTCCTCTCTCTCTCTCTCTCTCTCTCTCTCTCTCTCTCTCTCTCCATTTGCATATTTGCATTTGAGAGAAATAGTAAATTTGTTTGGGTACATTCTGCTCTCATATTGTTGCCATTACCAAATTAGTTATCGCAACTAAATGCAACGGCTCGTTGACCACGTCCTTGCTGTTACCAAAGAGTATGTTCCTTCTTTATATTTGTATATATAATAAGTATATGCCATGCCTAATACAGATTATAAATATTCGAATTAATGTGCATAAAACATGGATGTCTATTTTCTTTCTCAATCTTTCTGCACCTGTAATTTAGCTCCTTTATTTTTGTGAATTTTGAAGGTGCTAGTTCAGGTGACAAGTAAAATGGTCATTTTGGAGTTAATTGTTTTTTAGGTTGGGGGTTAGGGGGTGAGGAGTTAGTTGCCGAATTTTGGAAAATTTAGGGAAGAACAATGTAGCAATTTTAACTACTTTCTTTCTGAGGTTTTTTGGCAGTATTAGCTAGGTCAATTGCTGGATCAATTGTGTGTATGCATAATGACAAATGCATCTCCATTCAGGCATCTGGATCAATGTGTGTGGGAGAATTCCTCTCTTTTTTTTCCCTCTGTTTTGATGTCTTTTAACATCATGTAAAAAAGTTGATATTGATAAGCATTGGTACGCAGCAAACTATCAGAACTGACAGAACAACTATTGATCAAGTGATGGTCTTCTAGAGAGTGTATGCCCCCCCCA